AGATCAAGATAATTACTTTGGTAAATACACACCAAATATACTAATTACCCAGACATTAAAATTGCAACAAACAATTTTAAATCTAGAATACAAAGAAACAAAGGATACTGTTGAATTGAAATGTAATCAATTAACTCAAAGAACCATTGAACATGATCTAAGAACTAAGTAAATGTATATTAGAATATCAGATATAATCCAATGGAAGAAGAGATACGAACTCATACATGAATTACTACGCATAATAGTCACTCCAGGAAAGTTCAAGAGTATATAATATTACGGGGCAAATCCCCAACTCTTAGAGACAATAACATAAACTCATAATCCAAAACAATCTATCTTTATGAGAGACATAATAACCTATTTATACTAGGTTCAATTATTACAGATATTAAAATAGATGACCAATGAAGAATTTCTAAGGAAAAGAATAGCAACGGCCACAGAGTCAGAATTCTTACCAAGGAATTTAACTTATAAAAAGGCAACATACTGAAAAGTCAAGAGGATATATGTTGTGCTATATACATAAAAATAATATTGTTATGTGTATAAGTAGAGGAATCCTTGCGCGATAGAATTGACTAATATACAACTAAATTTATGTTGTAAAGATAGAATGTATTTTCTAGTGGAAGGTGTTTGATTAATGAACTTCTTGCATCCACAAGGATTGACCAAGAAATAATCGTTCAATTGTCAAAGTCTATGATGCCACAATACTCTTGAAGGTAATAATGTCGACTTTAAGATCCTTCCAGTGGGTTTAAACCTCTATTCCAGAATAAGGTTTTGAAAGTCATAGATCAATACAAAAACAATCAAATTTACATCTCAATCCGAATCGTCTTTTTCACTGATATTGTTTGAAATCTTGCCTTCCCTTTTAAATTTAACTATGCTTGTTTCTAATAGTCATCTCATGGGGTTGAATATAGAAATTTTTGTTAAAACAAATGTAAATTACTATTTAGGCTTAATAAAGTCTAGTTATAATAGGATACAAAAAGAAAAAGTGTCTTATCTCTCTAGTTTAACATGAAGCTTCAAATTTCTAAAAAATAAAATGGAACAAAATGATAAAGAGACTGATTCAATGAATTCAGCTGGAATTCCTAAAATAATACCATAGGTTCTAATAAAAATAAAGCACAAATAAATAAATTTTCTATGAAATAACAAAATAAGTCAAAGCAAGCTACAAACTATTATTAAAGCTTTAGGTCTAAGTCAAGCTCAACTTCGTCTTCATTATTCTTTTTTGCACCCCCCTTTTCCAACTTAAGTTGCATGTAATTGTTTCCACTAAGAGTATCATCAATATTGACCAATGAATCCTTAATATTTAAACCCTCAACACTATTTTTGCCCTCAAAATTAAGGGAATTCTGCAATGCATCAGCTCTAGTTCCAACCATAACAATGTTGTTATTTTCTAGGTGATTTTTTGTACGAAAAAATGATGACCTTGATTATTATGACCATTTCTTGGGTATAAATCGACATCTGAAAAAATTGTTGTGCATGATAAAAAGTAGGGTTATGGACGACATTAGAAACTTCTTTAACTCCAAATGAGGATTGACTGGTAAAAGATTTGTGAAATGGCACGTGTAAGTTGAAATTTGAGTAGAGGTAATAGTAAGGATGATAATTCTAAGGGGCAAAAGGCTGAACAACATCAACAAGTTCATTTTTCCTTTTATACAATGCCCTCTCTTGTTTGTGAGCGTTTTGGTGTCCCCCTAGGGCTTGCTTAGTGGAAAATTCTTTCTTGCAAATGTTGCAAGAGAAAATCTTAGTTTTTGAGGAAGTCCTCATTGAATGGTTCACTAGCATGAGCCGGTGTTAAATTCTTCTCATTATTGTAATCATTACGGACTTTGAGATCAAGATGTACTCTACGAGATGATAATTAATTTGGCTTCAATTGAGAATCTTCCATAAATTTTGCTTTCATCTTCTTTTTATTTGTGATGACTTTATGAGATTCTTCTGTGGCTAACGATATGCTAGAAGCTTTAGAAGAACATGAATTGGTCATTGCAAAAGCATCCATTTCCCACTATACCAATGTTTATGTTCTTGAAATGTACTTGAGATAAAGAATAAAGAGAATAGATCTATTAAATAGACAATATGAAAATACAAAATCCTTCAAATATGAAAAATTAATTATGTATGGTATTCCAAATGTAAATATTTAAGCAACCAAATCAGAGTTCTTGTATAGGATCATACAACTTGCTAAAAAATATAATTCCATTAATATATTTCAAATGATGGTAAGAGGAAGAGGAAAATATATGCTAAGAAGTGCTAAGAAAATTAATAATTAATGAGTCCCAAAGTAAATTGTATGAAATATTAGGAAAATTAATAATTAAGAAATCACATTGTCCTATAATTTATTGTAAGAGGAGGTGGATAATTAATGGTAATATGAATTAGAAAATTAAATAATTAAGTAGTTGTAAAACATATCATAACAAGTATTAGGAGAACTAAAGTTAAAGAGTCCTAAAATATATGGTAAAAGAAAATATATTTTTAAACTTAAGAAATTCTAAAAAATATATGGTAAGTGAAAATATATGGGGTAAGAGTTCTAAGATATTGCAATTGACTTTAATTGTAGGTTCTTTGAACTTTTGTCATTTGCATACTTTAAGAGGTGAAGGATCCAATAAGTATAATTGTATGAAAAACTTAAATTCTATAATCACATATTTATCCTGGTTATTTAGGATCTATTAGTAGGCATTTTTAGAATTGTCACGACCCAAAAGTGAATGCCTACTATAAAACCCCCATAGATAAGCCAAAACCCAATATTAAAAGATGGTAACTAGAAAGAAATGAGCAGAAGCATAATATAGTTATATTGAGTAGGGTCAGTAGCATAGATTTGTAAATACCATACAAAATATACAAAACGGGCTCAAAAGTAACATAAAAAGACAACTATATACAAGATTCAACCCAGGACCATTGTCACTGGTACAAAAGCATCTAAGTACCAAATGACTATATACAACAAGTCCCTTTGAAACAAGATAAAAAAAGTATAAACATGTATAAAAGAAGGAAATCAACAGTCTCCAAATGCCAAGAGCTCACAACCATCCAAGTCTACAACCGCCACGGGATATTTGACACTAGGATGAACAAGTTGCCTCTCCGATCCTCTTATCCTTAGAAATTTAGTGTTGAAGCATGACTTTTGCACCCAAGAAAAGAGGTGTTGTCAGTGCTTCATATTCATTACTTCATGTGCCACAAATGATTTTAACAAGTTCTAATATAAAAAATTATTATTCATGATATGGAGTTTCTGGACACATGATGTGAAACTGGCTCGGGAAACGAAAGAAGTTGAAGATAAATTCTTCGTCCTCACATTAACACCAAGAACTATCTTGCAAAACAATAAAAATGTAAGAAGATTAAGATATATACATATATATAATGTATGTATATATAAATATATATATATGTGTGTGTGTGTATGTATACAACATAATTTCATTTATATATATATATACATATATACATATATATATATGTATGTACGTATGTATGTATGTATGTATGTATGTATGTATACAATGTAATTTCAAGTGGAAGGGTTTGAATGAACTTTTTGTGTCCCCTATCTTCGACCAGGAAAGCAATCATTCAAATACCAAATTCTTCGGTGCCACAATACTCTTGAAGGTAATAAATGACAACTTTAAAAACCTTCAAGAGGAGATTAACGTTGTATTCCAATATAAGGTTTTACACTTCATGGATCAATACAAAAATAATAATAAAAACATCTTAATCTAAATCGTCATCGCTTGTTTATATTATCTTAAATCTTGCCTTCTCTTTTTGAATTAACTATGCTTGTTTTAATAGTCATGTCATGGTTTTGAATATTATGATTTTTTTCAAAAGGATGGAAATTACTATTAGGCTTATAAAAATCTAGTTATGATAAGATACACAAAAAAAGCTGGCACATCTCTTTGGTGTAACATGAAATTAAAATTTCCAAAAAATAAAAGAAGCACAAATGACGAAGAGATTGATTTAATGAATTCAACTAGAATTTCTAAAATAATACTATATGTTCTAATAAAAACAAAGCACAAATAAATTAAACCTCCGTGAAGTAACAAAATAATTCAAAGCAAGATACAAACTAACATTAAAGCCTTAGGTCTAAATCAAGTTCCTCTTCGTCTTCATTATTCTTTTCTGCATCCCCCTCTTCCAATTTCATTTGCAGATAACTATCCACAAGGATTATCATCAAGTATTAATTGGTGAATCCATTATATTTAGACCATTTGCACTATATTTGCTCTCAAAATTAAGGGAATTCTTCAACACCTGCATCAACTCTAGTTCTAATGATATCAATGTTGTTATTTCCTAGGGAGATTGTTTGTACTAAAATACGATGGGCTTGGTAATGATGACCACTTCCCGGGGTTAAATCGATAATTGTATCCTGAAAAATGGTCATGTTGGATAAGAAGTAGGGTTTATGAACAACATCAGAATCTCCTTTTATACCAAATGATGATTAATTGGTAAAAGACCTGTGAAATGACATGTGTGAGTTGAAATTTGAGCAAGGGTAATAGTAAGGATGATAATTGGGAGGGCCAAAAGGCTGAAAAACATCAACTATGCTTGTTTTCAATAGTCGTTTTGTGGATTTGAATATAAACATTTTTTAAAAAAACAAATGTAAATTACAATTTGAGGTTATAAAAGTCTAGTTATGAAAAGATACAAAAAGATAAAGGTGACAAATCTCTTAGGTTTAACATGAAGCTTCAAATTTCCAAAAATAATAAAAGATCAAATGATGAAGATAATTATTTAATAAATTTAACAAAAATTGATAAAATAGTGCCATTGGTTCTAATAAAAGAAAAGGACAAATAAATTTAACCTATGGAAAATAAAAAAAACAATTTAAAGAAAGTTGCAAACTAACATTAAAGTTTTAGATCTAAATCAAGCTCATCATCTTCTTCATTATTTTTCTCTGCGTCAGCCTCTTCTAAAGTAAGGTTATGAATAACATAAGAATCTCCATTAACACCAAATGGTGATTGATTGGTAAAAGAATTGTGAAATGGCATGTGTGAGTTCAAATTTGAGTAAGGACTATAGTAAGGATGATAATTGGGAGGGTCAAAAGGTTGAACGACATCAACAAGTTTCTTTTGCTTTTTAGAAAATGCCCTCTCTTGTTTGTGACCATTTTGGTATCCCCCTAAGGCTTGCTTAGTGGAAAATTCTTTCTTGCAAAAGTTGCAAGAGAAAATCTTAGTTTTTGCTGAATGCCTCTGTGTGGGTGTTGCCTCATTGGAAGACTCAATAGCATGATTTGGAGTTGAATTAAAAAGATTTAGTCCAAGATTTGAACAATTAATATTCCCATCGTTGTTGCAACAATTATTGACTTTGAGACTAATATGTTCTTCAACAACTTCTGATAATTCATGTGTCTTCCATTGATAGCCTTCCACTATTTTTTCTTTAATGAGTTCAGGATTTGAACAATTTATATTCTTCTCGTTGTTGTAATCATTATGTACTTTGAGATAAAGAAGTGTTCTACCAAATGATAATTCATGTGTCTTCAATTGGGAGTCCTCCATAGATATTTCTTTCATTTTTTTTTGTGTTTGTGATGACTTCATGAGATTCTTCTAAGGCTGACAATTTGCTAGAATCTTTAGAAGAACATGATTTTTTCATTGCAAAAGCATCCATTTTCCCACTACAAATAATGTTTATGTTCTTGAAATTTACTTGATGTAAGAATGAAGAGAATGAATCTATTAAATAGACAATGGTATGAATTCAAAATCCTTCAAATATGGAAAATTCATTAACATCTGGTGTTACAAATGTAAAAATTTTAGCATCCAAATCATAGTTCTAGTAGAGGGTCATATAAGCTTGTAAGAAAATATTATTTCATCAATATATCTCAAATGATGGTAAGAGGAAGAATAAAGTATATGGTAAAAAGTAGGAAAGTTAATAATTGAGGATACCTAAAATAAATGGTCAGAAAATTTAGGATGATTAATAATCAATAAATTATGTTGTCCTAAATTATATGGAAAGAAGAAGTGGAAAATAAATAATAAGATGTATTAAGAAATTTAATAATTAAAGTATTCCTAAAATATATAGTACCAAGTACTAATTAGGAGAACTAATAATTAAGAAGTCCTAAAAAATGTAAAAGAAAATTTATTTTAAAAATAAAGAAATTCCAAAAATATATGGTAACAGAAAAGATATTGCGTAAGAGTTTGAAGATATTGCAAGCGACCTTAATTGTATGTTCTTTGCACTTTTATCATGTGCGTACTTTAAAAGGTTAGGAGATCCAACACGTATGATTATATGTGTAACACTTGGATTCGAGAAGATCAAAACAAGATACAACTTTTCGGGATCTGGTGTCAGAACCAACGGAAGCCACCCCTGGACCGTATGTTATACCATGGACCATAGTGGGTTCCCGCCATTGGTTTCCAGATTTAGAGGTCTCTTATCCCACGCATGGCCGACCAGTCTGGTCTGTGGTTGGACCTATTGACCACAAGTCTTTCCATAGGTCAGGGTCAGTAGGTATGTAGAGAAAAATGACTTTTAAGTCAACTTCAAACGGTTATATCTTTTAGCACAAAATGAATAAGGTGACTCATTACCTATCAAATTAAAGATAATTGAATCCTCTTTCCTACGCAATCGAGTTTGCTTAATCCAAGCTTTGAGTAAAAAGTTATGCTTATTTTAGTGAAGTCATGGGCCACGAACCATGACCCAGTTAACGGGCAGTGGTTCAAATGACAGCCCATCAGTCCCCTCGTAGGTGGCACTTCGTCAACTTTAAGTCAGGGCTGCTCTTGTCCTTTCCCTACACGTTGGGGCACTTAAACTACATCTTTGATGCATAAACTACTTCGTTTTGCTCCGTCTTAGCCAAATAATATAGTCAGACATACCCAGAACCCTCATTCTCCAATCATCCAAATTAGAACGAAAAGAAGAGAAACAAGCATCAGTTTCTTTCAAGAACAAGCAACAATGTTCTTCAAAGTTCAGCCCCCAAAATTCTAATGATTTCTCTCTAGATTTTGTCTCCAGGAATGTGAGATATCACCAGTGGGTTCCTTTAACTCATTATATCCCTAGAATTCAAAAAGGTTAAATCCCATGAATATTGAGAGTATTCAATCATGTTAAAAAACAAAAGTAAAAGATTCTAAATGGTTGTGGCATTTGGTTACTTGGGTTCTGGTGGATTAAAAACTCCCTAAGAGAAAAATATGGTGATAGGACTTCCTGAATTTCTCATCCCTTCCGGAGTTTGTGAAGAATGTGTTGTTGGCAAACAACATCGTTCTCAGTTTCCAAAAAAGAAGTCGTGGTGAACGAAGGATTGTTTGGAGATGGTGCATTTTGATATATGTGGCCCAATTAAACCAATTTCTAACGCAGGTAAAAGGTATTTAATTACCTCTACCGACTCTTGCTAAAATTTCAACAATGTCTATATTGAAAGTAAAGAGGGGGGGAATTAAAATTCTTTAGTCGACTCACCTACTGGTAGTATTATTCTTGATATGTTTTTTATGTTTTTTGGTGGTATAGGAAATTTGTTCCTTCCGATATGCTGGCACATATGATGAGTTTCTCTTCATTTTTAGGTTTCAAATATGGAAAAGATAAGATATGTCAAATATAATAAATATAAGTAAAATCACTTATCTGACAAGTAAAATACTGTTGGGTATGTAGCAAGAATTGATGGAAAATAGAGGGAAGGAGAGGAATTTGAAAAGTTTAGAACTTGAAAGGTTGGGAACTTGAAAAGTTCTCTAATGCTTTAATAAAAAAGGCAATAGTCCCTCATCGGTAATGGAAATGAAAATAGGAGAGTTTATATAAATAAACACTCCTATTAATTATTAAAAGGGTTGGAAAGAGGGACCCCCCTCGCGCAGTCGTCGTTGTCGCTCACTTGCATCAGCTTCGACTTCGGCAAATGATCGATCGAGAGATAATTTTTTGGATAAATTTATTTTAATTATTTATTTAATTAATTAAATGGCCAAAAATTATTTTCAATTAATTAGTTGGTAACAGAAATTAACCGAAATGTTTTCAACTTTTTAGTTAACCCGACCCGACTCAGATCCGCGCGCGTGACCCGTTTTAAATTCCGTTATATTTAAAAATTCCCGCCACTGTTCTGAAAGGTTGCAACTTTCAGGAACAGTCAATACCATTTGAAAGTTTGCAACCTTTCATTAATGGTCGTGTCAATTCTGAAAGGGTTGCAACCTTTCAGAATATATTATTCTTGCTTATAAATACCATTCAGTCTTAAAAAAAATGAATTTTTTGATCTTCCTTCTTCTTAAAAAACACATTTTTCTTCGTGTACTTTCCTGCTGTGGATTGATTCGCTGACAGTACAGTTATTGGTATTTATACTCTACTGATTAAGATCGTTTTACCCTGGGAGGTTGTATTCCAAATCAAACCTCAGATACTAGAGGGGAATAATTTCCTTAAAGGGACACTGTGAATTCAGTGGACTTGATTTTCTTCCTAAATTATCAAAAAGAGTATTCAAGATTCTGGTAAGTTTTACACATTAAATTATTTTTTACAAATAAATTTTTGTTCATCTTATTTACTGGTTCTAAAAATCTCAGTTACTTCGTGTTTCTGAATGATTTATTACAACCAGTAATTTCTGATTTTCTTAACACAGATTGATAACAATCTTAAGGAAATTATATAAATCTGTGTTTCTGGTGGAGACAAAAATCTTTGTGATTTAATACTTCTTTAAGTCTGCAATTATAATTTATTGCTTACTTATATTGTATCAATTTTGTTTATCAGAAATGGAAAACACTGGTGTTACAGTGGTTGTTGCTGCACCAACCCGAACTCTTGTATCACAAGCAGAGAAACCGGGTAAATTCACAGGTGTGAATTTCAATGGATGGCAGCAACAAGTATTTTTCTGGCTTACCACTCTTGGTCTGCAGAAATTTACAAGTGAAGATACTCCAGTACCTGCTGATGATATGCTAGACAGGGAAAAATTTATGATTGTTGAAGCATGGAAACAATCAGACTTCCTATGTAAAGGTTACATTTTGAATGCTTTAGAGGATGACTTATATAATGTCTATAGTGCAATAAAAACTTCAAAAGAGTTGTGGAATGCACTTAACAAGAAATATAAGACAGAAGATGCATGCTTGAAAAAATTTGTGGTCACAAATTTTTTAGACTATAAAATGGTAGATAGTAAAACAGTTGGATCATAAGTGCAGGAACTTCAACTTATCCTCCATGATCTGATTACTGAAGATATGGTAGTAAATGAAGCTTTTCAAGTGACTGCAATGATCGAGAAGTTGCCTACTTCGTGGAATGATTTCAAGAATTATCTAAAGCACAAGCGTAAAGAAATGAATCTTGAAGATCTTGTGATTCGTCTCAAGATTGAGGAAGATAACAGAAATGCCGAAAAGAAGTCACGTAAGAGTTTAACAATCATTGGAGTTAATATTGTTGAAGAAGCTCCTACAAAAGACAAAAAGAGAAAGAATTCCAACGGGCAGAAGCCAGAACAGGCCAAGAAGAAATTCAAAGGCAATTGTTATAATTGTGGCAAGGCTGGTCATAGATCTTCTGATTGTCATGCTCCAAGAAAGGACAAAAACAAAGGCAAAGGCAAAAGTCAAGAAAACATCGTGGAAAAGATGGAAGACGCAGATGACTTGTGTGCAATGATATCAGAGTGTAACTTAGTTGGAAATCCCAGGGAGTGGTTTCTCGACTCAGGTGCTACTAGACATATTTGCTCTGCAAAAGAAGCCTTTGCAACGTACACTCCTGCTGAGTACGATGAATGATTTATTACAACCAATAATTTCTGATTTTCTTAACACAGATTGGCAACAAATACTACCAAAATGTTCTCGATATTACGGTACATACTTAGATTCTAACAATTCCACCAAGTATGGCATACATGAAATAAAACTTAAATTTCATAACAAGTCCACCAAGTATGGGGAGAAATGGGCACGATAACTGAACCTGCAGTGAGAAAGGCAAAGCATAAAACTGAAGTTGTTTTAGAAAAAGAGTCATCACTCACGTTTAAGTCCCGAACATAGAATTAAGACAAATCGATGATTCGTCATAACTCCTAGTTTTCACTATTCCCAACTGATGGATTTATAGTCACTTAAAAGCTATAAGAAAAATATTATAAATGACAATTTTTTGCATATCAATATGATGAAAAAATACATCATAAAATGTTAGTAAAAGTTTTTATAGCTCGACTCTAAAAAAAAAAGTATGACAATTAAAAGTGGACGAAAGTAATACTATATTACCATCGTATAATTAATGCTATACATCATCCAATATTAAAAATTTACTTTTTCTTTATGGTGTAAAAACTACTTTCTTTTAAATTTATTATAATTTAGTGAAAACAAGGAATAATGTGTCTTTAGATTAAGGAAAATATTTCAGATAGTAATTATGAGAAGGAAGTAAAGAATTATGATTGTACTTACTATATTAACCCTTTTCTTTT